GTTAAGATCACCTGAGAAATGATGAAGTGTAGGTGGATGTTCCACTTACCAGATCTTAATGTTGTGTAAAAGGCATTTTTTGAGCCTCTTGATGCTATTATGCATACTAACTCTCATAACTTACAATGCACAGAACAAAAATTGGTCACATAGTATCTTCAATCCCAATGCCCCAAGTGTATAAGATCAAGCAACTAGCCATGCAGCCTGTCTTTACAAACATGTGTTGCTCTCAAGTGCTCGCTGAATTCAAGTGTGTTATCTTAACAATATGTGAAATTTCTTCCCTTCTAGATATTCCATGATTAACTTGGGTTGAACTGTGGCTGTGGTGCAAGGTAGAAAGGTTGGTGGTTCGATCCCTGGCTTCTCTAGTCTGCATGCCAAAGTATCCTTGTGGAAGATAGTGAACCCAGAGTAGCTCTTAATACTTTCACTGGGAAGTGAATGTTAGATAAAAAGCACTTAGACATAGAAAAAAATGCTTATGTGAATGATGTTTTCTAAGAACCAGTACATTTGCCATAACTGAAAAATATGTGGATGCGTTTAGGAACCACAGAGACTCAGCAAATAGTGCCAGAAGATGTAATGCTACAGAGCGGGCAGGTCACTGAGGCGTGTAAGTGTGTAAAAGTCGCCTCTGTTGTCGCCTCCTTTGGCATCAGCACAAAAAATATGCACGGCTTCATAGCAGGGGTTTCCATGACTGAGCAGTTCGTGCAGGTTTAATGTCTAGTAGGCCCAGTATTTCTGGCCTAAATAGTCTACCAGGATCGGTTTCACTTAACCTCCTCCTGCTATTCCCAGTCATAATCTCTGCTGGGAGGTATATTGCTGAACATTTAAAAATGACTCATCTAAAAGATGTTTCATGAACTCTGAATGCATACTATTTTCTCAAATGTTACCGAGAGCTTCACACTGAGGTTTCCGTGAGGTTAAACTAACTTCAATTAAAAACAGACATACAGAAGACATATGTGAAAGTATGTGGACAGGGGTTTGGAAACACTTAGTGCTTAGAAAGGCTTAAAGATGAGTGAGTTTATGCTGGTTTGTTTGACTGCTTATCCATGAACCACTCTCATCATGAATTAATAACCACGCTGTCTCCCACTCCAAAGGCTGGTGTTGAGAGCTGTTGCTCTTAATTGTGATGGTGAAACATTATCTGACTTTAACTCCAACCTGCCAACGACAGGTTGTCTTAGGAATGTTCTTCTTAATGAGAAAAAAGCAGGCGACTGTGATGCATTTCAGTCCTCTCAATAACACGATGTTTAGCTAATTCTGACTATAATCTGACCCCATTAAAAATTACATGTTGAGCCTGAATGAAGCGTTTTTTAAAAGTGTGGTTACTGATAACCACCAGGCCATCATGTGCTGTGTTTTCCTGCCTGCAGGCTTGGAAGCTGCTGAGAGATGGAGGTCCACTTCAACCAGAATCAGGAGTAGGTGGAGAATTGGTTCATGTGCTGCTACACTGAACACACTGTGGCTTCAGAGCAGAACAAGCACCACTGATGCCGGCCACATTCAAAGACACTGGAGTTGAATCCATCTGTGTGACAAGACATTCACTAAATGAAACAGTGACTTAGCCAGTCTCCAGGTACCTAAACACAACACTGAACCACAATCTAGATCGAAATGGTTAGTGCAGATGGAACTTTCAAAATAAAATACTTTAACACCTTTCATCGAGCGTGCAAAAAATGTGATATATGATGCCCAAATTATAACAAAGGTAGTTTTCATGGAAAGCATGAAAATCCACATAAGAACAGGTTCTCTGTGGTACTCAGGACAGAGTGAAAACCTTTTACAATCCATTAGTCAAGGCCAGATCTCCTTCAACTTCAAACTCCACCTGCAGCGTAACAAAAGGGCCTGAAGATACAGGTTAAAGGTGTGCAACAGAGACAAACAGGCGCCTATAATTCAGTCTGATTCTACTTTTACATTTATGCTGCCACACGAAGAGTCTTTTCTATCAAATTGTCTCTTCATGCATCAGATTTCATCATTTCAAAAAAGTTTGTTCAGTAGTATTACATAGCCTATAGTTTTAGGTTGTTGTTTGTTTGTTTTTTGTTTACAGTATTCAATCATGTGTGGGATGGCTAGTTTCACGTTTTACATCTGGTTTAATATTTGCTTTATTTTTTAGCTTTTTTTATATTTGCATCTTAGTGTGGGGATATTATTGAAACAGAGACACCTACAACTTATAAAGTATGTGGGGCATGGGTATGCAGTTTGGGGGCCATTATACTCTTGGACCTCCTGGCACAGTTGCTGCTTATCTATGCCTGGGTCCAAATGGGTTATAAGACAACTGGTTCCTTGAGCAGCAGGGTGGCTAGCACTACTGTCTCACAGCAAGAAGGTCTTGGTCAGGTTAACTGGTGATTCTAAACTGCAATAGACCTGTCCATAGTGGGTTAACTAATCACTGCCGGAGTGTGAGGCACATCTGCCAAAAACAATCTGAGCAACTTGCTGAATACTTTTCACTTACCTCTACTCTACTACTGATAGCAGACGCAGTGTCAGACCAAAGATGGAAATGGAGCATAATGAGTTTATAATTCTGTCTGATACTGACCTTTGCTGAGCCATTAACTGCTTTTGTTTATTTTTAGATACTCTACTCAGTACTCTACAGTCTTCCTAAGTACTCTGACAACTCCACAAATACTTCCTCCTATTGGGAATCACAGTTTTTGTTTGTTTGGGATTTTTTTTCCCGGGGAGTCCCCAGGAAGAGGCTACGAAAGTGAAAGAAAAGGGGGGGAAAGTGCAAGTACGTGTTTAAACTGTTAACTCTACGCTCTCGTCACTCTGAACAACCTAAGCTCACATGGAAATTGTATTCTTTTCAGTCTCTCTGCTCTTCATTATTTCAAGGAACTCCACCCTCCTCTTCTGCCATCTTGTGTTCATTTTCAAAACCTGCTTGAAAGGATGTGATGTAGGAACTGGTGGTGAGGGCAAAATGAGAAAGCTAATTTCTAGTATTCTGCTTTGCTAATTGCTTCATCTCCACATCTCACGTTGAGATAAGAGAGCAGCTGACTACCTATTAAAACTTGCAATATTAAAATCACAGGCAGAGTGAGGACTGTACAATCCTGAGCTTTTCAAACTGTTCCATATTTAGTTTGTATAAAAGTGTAGGGAGGTGATGGGTTTAAAGTGTATATCCAAAATGTACTATTTCTTCTCCTT